CCTTCTTACTCATTGTTACTTCTCACATAGCTATTATGGGTATAATCCATAGTGGGTTTGCATTGTTCTTCTACAGACTAGATTCAGTTTAAGGCAATATAAGTCCTGGAATCATCTGATACTCATACTTAACCTTCAGTTTATTGTGCAAACAAAGGAGGAAATAAAGTCAACCACAGGGGGCAGACCATTGTGCTGAGAGGAATCCTCAGGCCCGGGTAGTGCCGGAGTGACCACAGACAGCCACAGGGGAGCACAGTGGCCATGGGAAGGGCAGCGTCTGACATTCTGTGTACTAACCAGCCTGTGCCCAGGGGAGGACATGGAGATGGAAATCTGCAAGAGATCTGATTCCAGAGTTGCTTCCTCGGAGAGACATTGCTGATCATACTACCCCCCACCTTTTTTTTAACTGAGAAAATATCAAAGATTGATGATGGCAAATTCCAACTCAGCTACCTGCTTTCTAAAGCTTAGAAGAATATGCTGTATATCCTCCCACTGTTTTTGGTAGGTAGAGGTGAAGTTTCCTAATCACAAGAGCCCAGGCCCTCCGGAGATGAGTTCTGAAGATTCCATTTTAGAAGTCATTGTTGGCTAAGCATGGAGGAAATCCTAATAATAATAGTGATAAAACTCAATTTCAAGTCAATGGACGTTTATTGAGCACCTATTATGTGATATAGTGGGAAGAGCATTCAAAATTCAACAAGTATTAACATTGTGCCTACTATATACTAGGTATTGTGCTAGGCACTGGTGTAATAATAACAACAACAATAGCTAAGACTTATCACTTGCCATCCAGTCAATTCCAACTCACGGCGACCCCAAGTGTGTCTGAGTAGAACTGCGTTTCATAGGGTTTTCAAAGGCTGATTTTTCAGAAGTAGATTGCCAGGCCTTTCTTCCAAGCTGCCTCTGGGTGGACTCAAACTATTTGCACCACCCAGAAACTCCAACTAAGACTTAGTTGTTGCTTATTTGGTGCTAGTGACTATTCTTAGCACTTTAGAGTAGGTATTTTTATTATTGCATTTTACTCAAGAGTCACAGAAAGGTTAAATAACTTGCTCATGTTACATAACTAGATCATGGGTTTCTTATTTTACCTAGAGGTGAAATAACTTTGTAAAGGTCACACAGCAAGTAAGAGATGGAGCCAGGCAATCTAGCCCCAGAGGCCACACCAAGCTTTAGACTGAAATAAATTCAGAGTTGAATCCTACCTCCTCCCCTTACAGCTGTATAACTTTGGGAAAGTGACTTAACATCTCATAATCCTAGTTTCCTCATCTGTAAATGCAGATGATAATATACACTTTCAGAACTTTACAAGAATGCTAAATAATGCATACAAAGTGACTAACACAGTGCCTGGTAGATAATATCATTATTAAGGATTCATTAATCCAAACACATAGTACTCAGTATGCATTGGTATGGCCAGACCAGTTGTTAAAATATTTAAATACTTCCAGGCAAGTTGGTAAAACCTCTGCCCTAGGCCCCCTAAGTGCTTCCTTTCCTGGCCACCCAGCCCCTCCTGAAGGAGCCCTCCATAACCCCTGGCACTTTGGAAGGGCCTCCAGGATCCTATTCTGATGGTTAGTGACTGGGTCACATCAGGTGTCAAATATTTTGACTATGTCCTGGCTACAAATGTAAATGAAATGGATTTTTGCTGTCAATGAGAATACAGTCTTGGAGGGGTGCCGGGCATGGTGGGAGACAGTGATGAGTGCAATGATGAAGGAATGTGCTGCCTAAGTGGTGGCTCTGAGGATGGTGAAATGGACCAGCTTGGGTAGGCCAGAAGTCTTCACCCAAGGCAAGACACTCGCGCTATCGGTGACCTGCTGGGGGAAGGGGAGCATCCTAGATCATCACAAACGTTTCTTTTGTCTCTGTTTTTTCATTCTTGCTACCTCCACCCTAGTCCAGGCCTTCAGGACTCTGCCTAAACTTCACATGAGCTTCTTAATTCAATGGAGTTCCTGAGCTGACGGTTCTATCCATTTTGTGGTTCCCTTACTCAACAACATTTAGTAGCTCCCTGTGGGCCCATCTTCGTATTGAGGCATCTAGGACCCAGTATCATGTAGTCCCAGTCTCTGCTTCCAGCCTTTTCCACTTACTTCAGGGCAGGTGCCAGGCACTTGCCAAATGAGATGTTCCCAGTGCTAGACTGTGCTGCCGCTGCTGCTGTTGCTTGGAACTTGTGGATCCTCTCTCAGGGTTTTTCAACACCCTTCTCAAATACAACTTCTGTGAAACTTTCTTGCATCTATGCTCCTTTTGTGGTGGATTAATTACTTCTGTGTGTGGTCTTTATAGCCATGGTCTTGTAACTCCCACCCAGGTGATTGTGAGATAGGGTAATTGTGACGTACGAAGGGAATTGGTCAGTTTTTCCTTAAAAGAGAGCCAATTCCAGGGCAAAGAGGAGAGCCCGCCACCACCAAAGAAGGAGAGACCTGCAGGAGATGGCACAGTGGGCTTCCCGGCCCATGGAGCAAGAAAGCTGAGTGCCTTTGGGCAGAGGCTGAGGGCCAGGGAGAAGTCTACACCTGACCCACGAATTTGGGACTTGCCAGCCTCCAAAAACCTTGTGAGCCATTTCCTTTATATGGTCCACGAGTTCTGTGAGACGTTGCAAGAAATTAGGGAACCCAAAGACAGGAGGGAGAATACTGAGGTGAGAAGGAGTAGTTGATGTTAGAGATGATGGAGTGGTACAGCAGCTTGGAAAAGTTAGACATTTGGGACATCTTTAACCTCCGCCTCACAGGAACCAGCTTTGTGCTGATCCTTATAAAAAAAATTATTGGTTTACCTTCTGTCCTCAGGTTCTTCTCCCACTCCAATGCTGTGTGGGAATGGAATGGATACACACGAACGACTAACATACACTGATATTAATAGCTTACTGTATGTCGGGAAGGAGCCTTGGGAGTGCCGTGATTAAGTGCTTGGCTGCTAACTGTAAGGTCTGTGGTTTGAACCCACCAGCCTCTTCTTGGGAGAAAGATGTGGTAGTCTACTTCTGTAAAGATTTATAGCCTTGGAAACCCTATTGTGTAGTTCTACTCTGTCCCACAGGGTCGCTATGAGTTGGAGTTGACTCAGTGGCAATGGGTTTGGTGTTTTTTTTTTTAGATGTCAGGTGCTGTTCTAAGGGCTGTACATGTATTACCTTGTTTCATCCTCACAAAATTTCCATGAGGTAGGGACAGTTATTACCTGTATTTTCAGATGAAAAAAACATGAGGCATAGAGAGGTGAAATAACTTTCCAAAGGTCACACAACAAACAAGATATGCAGCTGGCAATCCAAACAAGGAAGTTGGTCTCCGGAGCCTGTGCTCTTAACCACTGTTTTATAGTGACTAACAGCAATCAAAGGAAGAGAAAATAAAAAACTTTGTAATGTTATTACTTAACAAATGTTACTTGGTTTTATAATTCTTTTGTAATTATTTCATCTCCTCTATCCAGGCTGAAATTCTTAGGGGAAGAACTCTGGGTCTCACATCTTCGTATCTCAGACTAACCATCAATCAGGTGTGGGCAAACAAAGGTAGCGCTACTGAGCCATCACTCCTTGGAGGGCCTCCTGATTGTGAATTGGCCATTATCAAGCCCACCTTTCACTAGTACTTCTCCTAACTAAATGCACCACATGGCCAAACCCAGGTGCAGGATCAGGTCAACTCTCCTACACGGACTCCAAGAAAGCTGTGCATAATGATTCAGATTGTGGCTGAGAGTTGTCATTTATCTTCTTCATAATAGGGCAGATGTGTATGTGATGTCTCGTTTTTAGAGTTGGGGAAACTAAAGCATCCTGAGGTTATTTACCCAGATTCATCAGGCACGTCCAGATACCCAGTCCAGGACTCTGGACAACCCTGTGGTGATTCTGCCCTGATGCCATATACTAAGATTCAACAGATGGAATAAATTGTTGACTGACCAGAAAATTCTGGAACACCTTCTCTCTGTATTTCTACTTTGATGCAAAATGAAATTATGACATCATGATGGGAACACGGGACTTCTCTATTTGTATTTTTAGAATTTGCTAGATTTTTCCAAGGGTGGACTGGTCAGTTCTTAAAGAAAAATTATCGTGAGAAAGTGTCACACGTTCCATTTGTAACAGATGTGACAAACGGGTTTGTTCTAGAATCTAGAGAACAAAGTGATAGATGTTTAGCGGAGAACCAATAATTTTGTACTTAGGCGCAATTCTTTGATAAGAAGCCCAAAACAGGAACTTCTGTTGTTGTTAGTCGCTGTTGATTCTGACTCATCGTGACCCCATGTGTGTCACAGTAGAACTGTGCTCCATACGGTTTTCAAGGCTGTGACCTTTCAGAAGCAGAACACCAGGCCTGTCTTCTGAGGGGCTTCTGGGTGGGTTCCAACCGCCAGCCTTTGGCTAGTGGCTGAGCAGCGCTTAACTGTTTGCGTCACTCAATTACTCCTTAGTGACTTTAAGAATTGGCAGGCGGTAAAGGTGCGTGTGTCACTGGCTTTACGGGGAAAGGGACTCTTAAAAAAACATAATATTTGCCAAATATCTTGTAGTAATATTATTTTAAGATGCCTGTTACCCAGGGTCTCCTCTGCCGGTAGAGTCTTCCTCTCCATTTCCGCGAGTACGCCTGGCACTTACAGGTGCCTGCTGCTGGGAAATGGGCAGATCATGGAGGGAGTAGGACTTTATTGCCGAGCAGAGTCCACTGCCATACGCAGATGAAAGTTTGAATGGTTTAATTCAAGCTTTGTTTCTGACAAGCCAGGGCACAAGCCAGAATCTTTAATTCTGAACAACGCTAGCGATGTGAGTACCCCTCCTACCTACGCAAACACTTGCCGTCCGATCGCAAGCCCTGACCCACACCCATCTGCTCACGTCGTCGCCCCCTTTAAGAGTCTGATCCGCGGGACTAACGTTCGAATCGGCCCAGGCGCCCCTCCTCGCTCTCCGATTGGCCAGGCGCAGCGCACAAGGCGCGCCGCCCGGCCCCAGAACGGTTGGCGGCTCTTCGTGATTGGCTGGCGCTCGAGGGGCCTATATAAGGCGCGGGGCGGCCAGTCCGCCCTCAGTTAGCGACCGGACTTGAAACTGTGCAGTCGTCTTATGTGTAGAGGTTAGCAGGTCAGTGCGCGCGTCACTGGAGTCGTTTCTCCTCGTAGTCTTCGGATTTCGAGGGTCCACCCACGGGGCGGGCTTGTTTACGCCTCTTCCCTCCCAGCTTCCGAACGTGCGACGGGGCTTACCCCTCTCACCTCCGCGCCAGCCCTGGGAAAGGGGGAGGCAGGATGGAGTTCAAGTTGGAGGCTCACCGCATCGTCAGCATTTCTCTGGGCAAGATCTACAACTCGCGGGTCCAGCGCGGCGGCATCAAGCTGCACAAGAACCTACTGGTCTCGTTGGTGCTGCGCAGCGCTCGCCAGGTATACCTGAGTGACCCGTGCCCCGGCCTCTACCTGGCCAGCCCCGCGGGGAGCCCAGTGGCGCCGCCGCAGCAGCCCCGGGAGCCGGCGGCCAGGCCACCCGCGGGCTGGGAGGAGCCGCCCTCGCCGGCTGCCCGCGCCACCTGGCAGGAGACGGAGCCGCAGCCGGAGCGCCCCGCCACCCCAGGCGAGCGGCGGACGGATGGCGCGGAGCCCGCGGCTTCTGTGACGGGGACCGGCGATGCTCTTCGGGGTGGAGAGGCGGAGGCGGCGGAAGCTGCTTGGCGCCGCGTGGAGGGACCACGCGAGGCAGAGGCCGGAGAACCTGGGGGTCCCGCCGGAGACTCGGACGTTTTCCCCGAGGGGCCTCGGGCTGCGCGCCGCCACTGCTGCTGCGCCCCAGGCAGGGAGGACAAGCCCGGCACGCCGACCGGGTCCCCTCGCGTTGACTGCTGCTGCATGTCCCGGCCCGCCGAGGACGAGCCCCCCGCGCCGCCCCCGGTCTGCCCCAGGAAGCGCGGCGCGACAGGGGTGGGCGGCGGCACCGCGGGCTGCCCGGCGCCCGGCTCGACCCCGCAGAAGAAGCCCCGCCGGAACTTGGAGGAGCAGCCGGGCGGGGGAGAAGAGGAGGAGGAGATGGAGACCGGTAACGTGGCGAACCTCATTAGTATCTTCGGTTCCAGCTTCTCGGGACTCTTACGGAAAAAAAGCCCCGGGGGCGGCCGAGAGGAAGAAGAGGGCGAGGAGAGCCGGCCGGAAGCCGCTGAGCCCGGGCAGATCTGCTGCGATAAGCCGGTGCTGAGAGACATGAACCCTTGGAGCACAGCCATCGTGGCCTTCTGAGCCGCCCCCCGGGTCCCTGTGAGGGAAAGAGGTTGAGCAGTGGGCGTCCTCGAAGTGAGGGCTGGGCCTCTCCTGGCTCCGAGGACCCCCACAAACCGTCGGCGCTGGGCGCGTTGGGGAGACTGGTTGCTGCCGGGCAGCAGAAACTGCCCTTGAGCTTGGCAGCCCTGCTGTGCCATGACTCTCGGGAGTCACATCTTGAGACTTGGGAGTTGAAGGGTTTTGGGAGGAAAACAATTGTTAACTTTTGTGTATGTGTATGTCTGTGTGTATGTAAGTTTGTCTTGTTGAAGTAAGACTATTTTGTCCTTGAATGCATCACCCCTTCCCCGGGGCTTAAGAGATCGGGGGCAGACAGGGACTTTCCTCTGCTGACAGCACCGAGAAGGAAGCGGAGAAAATGGGGAGTTCCCCATTCGTTCTCAGGGGAGGAAGGGACTTTACACACACCCCTCACATGAAAGCTAGAACCCCACCGGGGCCTGGAGTGGCGTTTCCTCACAGGATTTCCTAAGACTAGAGGGATTTAGTCTGGAGCTAGAGACTTGTATTATTTCCCTCCCTCTCCACCTTTCTGTCTCACTGAAGAAACGTTTATACCCTGTGATTAACTCTGGGAAAGGGAATATTAACAGCCCTTCTCTTCCTCACAGGGTAGAAAGCTTGATAAACTTCACAGAAGAGTTCAAGCTTGGAAATAGGGAGTTTATAGAGAAAAGATATATTTTTAAAAGCTCTAGGTCAGAACTACTACACAGTGCTTTTAAAAAGTGTTGAATGAAACAAAGTTTACAGACAGAAGCCCTAAGTGGAAAGACCTTATGGTTTTGTAGACATGGTGACTCCAGCCTTTGTTGTATAAAGGTTGGGGGAGCTGATAAGGTTTTTGTACAGTATTTTCTCCTTCAATGTATTGATTTTTGTATAAAAATGTAACTTTACGTGTCCAACACGTATTAAATATTTTGAAGCAACTTCACTGGCTCCTTGTCTGCTGTAATCACCTGTCTCTGTTGGGAAGGAAGTAGGAGGAGGGGGGAACTAAGGTCTCCACCAGAAAATTGAAGGTGTGGTTCTTAATATCAGTCATGTACAGACTGGGGGACATTGTTTGCTGACTTCACTAAATATCAAGAGACGTTTAAGGTTTTCCCTCCAGATCAGTGGGCTTTTATTAGAATATCAGTAGTCTGCCTGTTTCTTGAAACCTGCCACTACACTGTCCTTTAAAAATCAATTTAGGCCAGTTTGATTTTCTATAGACCAGTTTAATTATATCTGTTTTAATATTAAGTGACTTAAGCATCAACTTTTGAAGCCCTTCTCATCTACAAAAATATTTTTCACCCAAACTTTCTTTTAGTCCCTGTTAAACTATAAAGCATGGGTTGTCTTTCAGCTTTGTTATTGAAAAAAAATGTTTAGATAGTAGCTTTCTTTAGAAGTCTAGTAGAACTATGAGGAAGCAAATGAGACTGACCTGTCGAACTGGTCAGGTCCACCTCTGCATTCCAGTGGATGTCAGGATGGAAATTTTAAGGTTTTTTTTTTTTTTTTTTTTTCCCCTTTTATAGATAGAAAGCAAATGCCTCAGTGAAAGGGAAACTGCTTGTTTCAAACCAGATAAGGTAGGAGGCCAAGGAGGCCTAGACAAATTTGGCTTCTCATTTAGCAAAACTTCCTGATTTGCTTTTGTAACACAAATGATGACATCAGTGTTTGGCTCATGGTAAACAGGTGATGACAACCAAGTCATTAGTTGATTTTTATTAAAATTAATGCATTCAAGAGAGCTTTTTGTCTAGGAAAAAATGGTCAGTATTTGAAGTGTACTGAATATTTCAGAAGCAAACCAATTAGAGAATGTGTCTTAAAATATGGTAGTACTTTAAAAGATGGTACTGGTCTATAACAACTTATGAATAAATAGGGTGTCTAAGATGTGGGAGAAACTGAAGAAAGATTAGACACAGCTTTAAGTAAAGGTTGTGGCCTTTGAAGGAGCCCTGGTGGCACAGTTGTTAAGTGCTTGACTTCTAAATGAAAGGTTGGTGGTCAAACCCACCACCCACTCTTTGGGTAAAGATTTACAGCCTTGGAAACCGTATGGGGTGGTTCTGCTCTGTCCTATATGGTTGCTATGAGTCAGAATTGACAGCAACAGATAAAATTTTTTTTGGTTTATGGCCTTTGAGCAAAAGGAGCACATTCATGGTGCCTTGGCTTTCCCAAAATCCTGAGTATTTGAAGTTCTGTCATAGCTCAGTTGGCCAGTATTTTGATATTTTTGTAAAACTATTAGTGGTTCCCTAAGCATAAGGGTTCAAAAACAACTTCTAATTTTATGTCCATCACTGTAATGTGGTCCTAGAATTAAACATTCTTTAGTTAGGCTCTTGTTAAAATTGACTTATTTTGTTTTTTTTCCCAGAGATTAGCTACCTAAGTTCTATCATAGCCACAAAAGATCCACTTAGTACTGACTACTTAAACTGAAGAAGGTGTTCAGGGCCTTAATTCTGCAAACATTTCCTGTTGTTAGAAGGTAATTATGCTCAAACAGCTATCTCAGTGCATTTTTATATTTGAAGAAGGGGTAACATTTGGTGTATTGAAGGGAGTTGATATGATTTAGGTGAGAATAAAGTTTCCTATTGATCCTTAGTCTCACATTAAAATGAACCATGGGACCATGTGTCTGCTTAATTTAGAGACTGTAAATTGGCATATTTAATAGGGGATACAGCCTTGTAGGGAATTAGAGAAGATAATTTTACTTCACTATTGTTTTAGAAGCACTATGTGTAGTGGTTAGAGCATGGGCTCTGGAACCAGACTGCCTGGATTTGTATCTTGGTTCTGCCGCTTATTAGCTATGGGACCCTGAACAAGTTACTTCTCTGTGTGCCTCAGTTTTCTCAAATGTGAAATTGGGATAATTGTACCTCCCTCATAGGGATGTGAAAATTAATGTATATAAAGCTCTTAGAAAATTACCTGATACGTACTGCTAAGCACTCAATTATTATAGAAATGAATTCTGTGTATAACTGAGATCTGTTATGGTTAAAGAATTGTCTGTATGTGTAAGAAAGGAGAGGAAGGGAGAATCTATTTTTAAATTATCCTGTGAATACTGGGTTCTTTTATTCTGGTTTTCTCTGGACATTAGGCAGTCACTAAGCTTTATTCCATCAGTATAGTTTTGCTGCTATGTGTCTCACACGAACCCTATGACTTTCCCAATTGTGTCAAACGACTCTATTTTCAGGGAGGAGTGAGCAGGTGTGAAAACATCAAGTAGCAAAGATCTTGTTGACATACAAATGCTTTCTGTGGATGAGTAAAGGGGGAAAAAAAAAAAGCCCACAGAGTTATTTTTAGCCTGAATTGCTTGGGCATTGAATGTTTCTTAAACCATGCTAATTGATAGGTCACCAAAAAAAGCCTTCCCAATACCAGAATGGGGTTATCATACGCGACTAAATCAGATTCAGTGCAATCAGAAATGAATCCATAGTTCTAGTACCTAACCATGTTCTTGACCACTCTAGGAGGAACCTAGTTTCTTGATCAAATTAACCTTAGCTTTGGTCTGGAAAAAAATTTTTGAGTGCCATGTAAAAGCCAGATGTTTGAAGTCTTTTTGCCAAGTACTCCAAGGAGATCACATTAATAGGGAGCAAAGTTTTAGTACAGTACTTCTCAACCATGTCACTTTAAACCTGTCTTCACTCTCAGAAACCATTGATGGTATTTCGGGAAAGCAACTAATGATGGAAAGCTTGAACTGCCCCTCCAAAGTAATTGGGTTTTCTCTATGGCACCTAATAGAGCAATAATAACCCTTCCATTCCTCCCATTCATCACTGATTGGATTTGGGGATGAGAAGTGGGAGGGAATGGGTCATTTACAACTTCGGAAGAATGCTTCTCAGAATAAGGATGTAGTAAATATTAGGAAAGGAATTAACAATGACAAAAATGCCCCATTTTATCACTGGGTTAGTCTGAGTCCCTCTTTCTTCAATTTGCTAGGCACAGCAACCTAGCTTAGAGCCTGCACGATGGGGTCAAAGGCTAATACCCACTGTGACAGAGTTTGATAGACATTTATTTCTTTATACTTTTTTTTTTAAGCAAAGTTAGTTCAGTTCACTGAATAACCAAAGGACTTCTGATCTCTTGCCCTAAATATTTTATTCTTGTCTTGTTTGTGAATTTTTTATTCTCCTAGGCTTGCTTTTATCCCAGCAGTTATTGAAAGAAGACCGGAATGAAAGAAACACTGATTCAACCTTCCCGTGACTATGAAAGAAGCCATTACTATTAAGTGCAGTACTCCAGTGGGGAGTGAGGTCTGCTTCCCAGGATTCCTGGCACTCTTTCCAGTAATGAGCAGTTTATCCCTCAGCCTTTGAACCATTGTTGAAATTTAAAATTCTTCACAGTGGAAAGCCTTAGGAGGAAAAACACAGTAGAAGCAGAGTTGATGTTGGGAATCATGGTGATCTTAAACTCATGCCCCTCAAAGTTCTTCAGTAACAATTCTTAAGGGCACAACAGAGAATAGAATATGTGAAAACAAAGTGTGAAAGGCTATACACATATAGCTGAATGCCTCCTTCCAGATCCAAACAGTTTTTCCCCATGCCTGCCTACCACCCCTCCCCAGTGGGAATGATGCTTTTAAAAATAAAATCCCTCTCCAGCAATTGCTTTCTCCCAGAGGAGTATAAGCCCAAAGCCTCTTTGCTGAGCTATATCCTGGAGTTTGTCTCAGACCTTTGGAATCTTGCAAGCAGCAAGGAGAAGCCTCCAGGGACAGCATTCCTGAAAGGGCCTCTTCCTCTCCCCTTCTCTCCAACCAGAAGCTGCCTCCACAGCTGGATGCTGCCCACTCATGGGCAGGTGAGAAAGAGTATCGGCTACCGGCTTTTGGAAGCTGCAGGAAGAAGGGCTGGTCCCCACCAGTGTCACTAAGCATCTCTAGCAGGTGATTCTTTCAGGGGACTAGCATAGGTTAGGCCTGTGACATTTATTGGCAAATCTACTTATTGAGAGTTTTATATAATAAAGTTTTCCAGGACATGGTCACAAGAAGTCCCTATGTCTATGTGATAGGCCATATCTCTAATTTACAAGATGAACGTGAGACTCAGCTTCCCCTTTTCCACCCATTTAGCACCAAGTCAGCACTGGCCTAGCCCTCTGCTTTCTCACTGTGAACTGGGCATCTGTTGGGCTGCTCCAGACTAATCCTCCCAACTAGATGTGAAGACAAGTCCCTTTCAGCTTTTCTAGAACTCAGAGATGTGCTGAAAGCCATGTGTTCTCACCTACTTGTTCTTCACTCCATGTCTCGGCTCTTAGGGCACGCAGCCGCTGAAAACTTGCTTTCTCTGAGGTAAAAGGAAAATCACTGTATTATTCTATTCCCTCTGTGCAAACCTGTGTTCCATCTGCTCAAAGCACTGAAGTTGTCATGGGGTACAGGAGTTCCTTTGGCTACTCCCAGAACTCCTTCCTGAATCCAGGGTACCATCCACTAGAGTTTTTCTCCAAGTTGATCCACACCTGCTTGGCTATTTCTTTCTAGCCAGTCACAACATCATCCTGCCCTCTGTGGCACAGATCCTTCCTTTAGTGCAGTAGCTGCCTTCTCTTTCCATCTCTGTCTGGGTCTTCCCTCCCTTGATCTTCTCGTGACGACACTCACATTCATTGTTTGCCTGGGGAAGGGTCTGACTGCTCAGGAAAGGGTTGTGATTTGGAATGCTAGAGCTTGTGAAAGAGGAGCAGAGTTGGATTTCCTGACCATGAGACTTGCAAAGGGACTTTGGTCTCTGGAGATCAAGCCACATCTGTGGTAGCTGGAAGTCATCCTCTCCCATCCCTCACCAGACCCCCAATTCCATCATAATAGCAGGGGGTGGCCAGGGGAGCATCCATGCTAGAAACAACAGCAGCAGCTGAAAACCAACTTGGCCTGTGGCCAGATTTAGGAAAGGCGAGGCAAAGCCAGAGGAGGTTGTATTTTAATTCCAGCCCCAAACATGGGCTACATAGCATTTCTGTTCCCCTTCCCTTTGCAGGAACTACATGTGCTGCTTTCTAGAACAGATAATGAATCACAGAGCTGCTTAGATGGAGCAATCCCAAAAGCGCCTCTGCCTTGTTTCCCCTTCTAGGCTTTGTTTGATTAACGGAGACTTTTTACAGTGAGTTACTAGAAGTAGGGGTGGGGAGAGGTTATAACCCACTGGGATCTGCAACAGAGGTGACCTTCAGGAAGTGAGCAGGAGGGCTGTGAAAAGACAGTGAGAAGGTGTGGGGTGGCAGTCAGCCGGAGGAATTGCCACTGTGTCGAGTTTCCTGCTCAAGAAGGTCTTCTGCTTCAGGCGAGGTCAATCTAGGGCTGGAACGCGTCCACTGGCTTTTGTTCTCAAACTGCCCCACAACCTGCTGTTTTCAGACAATTTCCAAGTTTTATTTTTGGTTTGGAAAAAAGGTGAAAGTGCCTTGGAATCTGCATTTATCAGCTCACTCTTGCTTTCTCTCTGTGTGACCTACTTTTAGAGACTGGAGTGGCTTTTATTTTTATGGCCATGAAGAAATCCCTGAAAGCAAAGATTCCATTTCAGACAGTGAACTTGAAGTACATGAGATGCTAAGCTGGGGTTGTTACTGCTTTATGATTTCTGTGGTTTTCTCCCCCCTCACCCCACCGCTCTTCAAAATGCTTTTTTTTTAAAAGGCGCTCCCAGTCTGCACTCCTGAGAGCAGCTGTAAAGACGTGGGCGATTCTGGCGTGTGGGCTGGCCCAGCTGTCTGCTTCCTAACCTTGAAGTCACCTCAGCATCAGGCATCTGGCCTCTAAACAGAGCTTGCAGCTTCTTTTTTTTAAATTTTCTCCCATACAAAAATTTATACATACATTGTTATGTGACCCTAATTCCTCTCCCCATACTGTGACAGCACACTTCTTTTCATCCCTGATTCCTCGTGTCCATTCAACCAGCTCCTAACCCTCTCTGCCTTCCCATCTCACCTCCGGACAGAAGCTACCCGTTTAGTCTCTTGTATGTACCTGAGCTAAGAGGCATACTCCTCACGAATATCACTTTATGTCCCACAGTCCAGTCCAATCCCTGTCTGAAGAGTTGGCCTCAGAAATTCTTTTAGTTCTAGGCTGACAGAGAATCCAGGGGCCATGCTCTCCGGGGTTCCTCCAGTCTCAGTCAGACCATTAAGTCTGGCCTTCTTACTAGAATTTGAGTTCTGCACCCCACTTTTCTCCTGCTCTGTCAGGGACTCTCTGTTGTGTTCCCTGTCAGGGCAGTCATTGGTGGTAGCCGGGCACCATCTAGTCCTTCTGGTCTCAGGCTGATGAAGTCTCTGGTTTATGTGGCCCTTTCTATCTCTTGGGCTAATACTTTCATTGTGTCTTTG